GCAGCAGCAGCAACAGCAGCAGCAGCAGCAGCAGCAGCAGCAGCAGCAGCAGCAGCAGCAGCAGCAGGAGTGCCTGCACGCAGACAAAGGGTTGGGGTGAAGCTGGAGGCCTCTGTGCGGCCTCACCTGTTGCCATCTGTTTGCTGCTGCAGTTACTGCTGCAGTTGCTGCTGCGGTTGCTGCTGCGGTTGCTGCTGCAGTTGCTGCAGCTGCTGCAGCTGCTGCATCCTGCATGCGGAGAGGTGCTGTTGGGGGGCCCCCTGCTTGGGCTTAAGCCTTTGTAGGGGGGCCCCCAGGGGCCCCTCAGCTGCTGCACTTCTGCTGCAGCAGAGGGGGCCCCCAGTTCTGCTGCTGAGGCTGAAGACAAAACCCTAAAAGTGCTGCTGCGGGTTAGAGTGTTTATGTTGCTGCTGCTGCTGCTGATGCAGCTGACGCAGCTGCTGCAGCTGCTCCTGTTGCTGCTGCTGCTGCCTCTCCTTTCCTTCTGCTGCTGCTGCTGCTGCTGCTGCTGCTGCTGCTTTTGTCGCTGTTGCTGCAGCTGATCCCGCAGCAGCCACGGGCGCGTTGCTTCTGCAGCTACCCCAGACAAACAACCATCATCATCGTCAGCAGCAGCAGCAGCAGCAGAACTAGCAGCAGCAGCAGCAGAACCAGCAGCAGCAGCAGCAGAAGAAGACATAGCAGTGTGCTGCCGCAGCCGTTCGAGTGCAGCTTCAAGTCCTGACTGCGGCGAGCCGGCAGGGGGCCCCCCAAGGGGGCCCCCCAGGGGGCCCCCCAGGGGCCCCCTAGCCCCCTGGGGCCCCTGGGGGGCCCCCAGTTGTTCGTTAGAGGCTCTGCTCAAGAAAGAAGAGCTGCTGAGGGTACAGGGGGGCCCCCGGCTGTCTGCTGGGGGGGTGGGGGCCCCCCAGTGCTGCGTCGGCGTAGATACCAAGCGAAGGAAGGAGGGGTTTTGCTGCTGCTTTGTTGAGCCCCCTGTGTCCCCGCTGTTTCCACCAGCAGCATCAGCAGCAGCAGCAGCAGCAGCAGCAGCTGAAGCAGCAGCAAATAAACTCTTGCCT